AGTGCAGACACATCTGTCCAGGGGGCAGAGAAGTGGGGCTACAGCCACAGGGAAACATGAGACCAAGAGGGACAACGGGTAGTATAGACCCGCGAGAGGAGAGAATCTCAGAGCCATGTCTGTCAGTGGGTGGAGGCGTGGGAGCTGCCCATTCGGGGGAGCCCAGCATGCTGAACAGTAGGGAGGAGGCAGAGGGTGCATCACAGAGACCAGAGGTGAGACATGGTGGCTCCCCGTGGAGGCTTTGGTCTCACTCAGAGGGAGGTGGAAGCTACTGGAGAGTCCTTCTCTCCCGAAGCCCTACCTGAGCCTTCTCCAGATGCCTCAGCCATCCCTAGGATTCAGTATTCCACTCCTTTTATTTTGTAAATTAGCACACAGAAAAATGGACTTCTTGTGGATGGGTCTCTCTGAAAGGTTTGTGGGTTTCCATGATAATCACTGGTGATTGGAACGAGAAAGTTGGAAACAAAGAAGGATCAGTAGTTGGAAAATATGGCCTTAGTGACAGAAAAGATGCCAGAGATTTCATGATAGAATTTTGCAAGACCAATGACTTCTTCATTGCAAATACATTTTTCAACAAGGTAAACGGCGACTACACACGTGGACCTCGCCAGATGGAATACACAGGAATCAAATCAACTACACCTGTAGAAAGAGAGGATTGAAAGGCTCCATATCATCAGTCAGATCAAGGCCAGAGGCCGACTGCAGAACAGACCATCAATTGCTCATATGCAATTTCAAGTTGAAACTGAAGAAAATTAGAACAAGTCCACGGGAGCCAAAATACGACCTTGAGTATATCCCACCTGAATTTAGAGACCATCTCAAGAATAGATTTGACGCATTGAGCACTAATGACCGAAGACCTGACGAGTTGTGGGATGACATCAAGGACAACATCCATGAAGAAAGCAAGAGGTCATTAAAAAGACAGGAAAGAAAGAAAGGACCAGAATGGATGTCAGAAGAGACTCTGAAACTTACTCTTGAATGTAGAGTAGCTAAAGCAAATGGAAGAAATGATGAAGTAAAAGAACTGAACAGAAGGGCAGCTCAAGAAGACAAAGTAAAGTATTATAATGACATGTGCAAAAACCTGGAGTTAGAAAACCAAAAGAGAAGGACCCCCCTCAGCATTTCTCAAGCTGAAAGAAATGAAGAAAAAAATTCAAGCCTCGAGTTGCAATATGGAAGGATTCTATAGAGAAAATATTGAACAATGCAAGAAGCATCAAAAGAAGATAAAAGGAATACAGAGTCCAAGCTGCACTAAAGTCTCCAGGAATTGATGGAATACCAATTGAGAAGTTTCAACAAACGGATGCAGGGCTGGAGGTGCTCACTTGTCTATGCCAAGAAATCTGGAAGACAGCTGCCTGGCCAACTGACTGGAAGAGACCCACATTTGTGTCCATCCCAAAGAAAGGTGATCCAACTGAATGTGGGAGTTATCAAACAGTATCATTAATATCACACGCAAGTAAAATCATGCTGGAGATCATTCAAAAGAGGTTGCAGCAGTACATCAACAGGGAACTGCCAGAAGTTCCAGCCAGATTTAAAAGAGGATGTGGAACCAGGGATATCATTGCTGACATCAGATGGATCCTGGCTGAACACAGATACCAGAAAGATGTTTACCTGTGTTTTATTGACTATGCAAAGGCATTCGACTGCGTGGATCATAACAAATTATGGATCATAACACAAATAAGAACACTTAATTGTGCTCATGTGGAACCTGTACATAGACCAAGAGGCAGCCGTTCGAACAGAACAAGGGGATACTGCATGGTTTAAAGTCAGGAAGGATGTGTGTCAGACTTGTATCTTTTCCCTATACTTATTCAATCTGTATGCTGAGCCAATAATCCAAGAAACTAGACTATATGAAAAATAACAGGACATCAGGATTGGAGGAAGACTCCTTAACAACCTGCGTTATGGAGATGACACAACCTTGCTTGCTGAAAGTGAAGAGGACTTGAAGCACTTACTGATGAAGATCAAAGACCACAGCCTTCAGTATGGATTACACGTCAACATAAAGAAAACAAAAATCCTCACAACTGACCGATACGCAACATCATGAAAAACGGAGAAAAGATTGAAGTCGTCAAGGATTTCATTTTACTTGGATCCACAATCAACGCCCATCGAAGCAGCAGTCAAGAAATCAAAGGACGCATTGCACTGGGCAAATCTGCTGCAAAAGACCTCTTTAAAGTGTTGAAAAGCAAAGATGTCACCTTGAGAACTAAGGTGCACATGACCCAAGCCTTGGTGTTTTCAATTGCCTCATATGCATGCGAAAACTGGACAATGAATAAGGAAGACTGAAGAAGAATTGATGCCTTTGAATTGTGGTGTTGGCAAAGAATATTGAATATACCATGGACTGCCAGAAGAATGAACAAATCTGTCTTGGAAGAAGTACAACCAAAATGCTCCTTAGAAACTAGGATGGCGAGACTACGTCTCATATACTTTGCACATGTTATCAGGAGGGACCAGTCCCTGGAGAAGGACATCATGCTTGATAAGGTAGAAGGTCAGCAAAAAGAAGGAAGACCCTCAACGAGATGGAGTGACACGGTGGCTGTCACAATGGTTTGCACACTTATCCGTGTGGCCAACAAGGGTTTGTGGAGAGACTATGTGCCAGGCTCTGAAGTTGGCCAGAGGTGTGAGGAGACTTAAGCTTAGGCTTAAGCAGGGGCCTGGCCCGGTCATGTGACCAGGTGCCAAAGGAGGTGACCTAGCTCAGTGAGGGGATGGGGCGTGGCCAAGGTCCCGAGGTGCAGTGCTGGCACATGGTTCCAGCAAACGTCCCCAGGGCCCTGGAAGCAGCGGCCAGCTCTCTGTCCCTCCTGTCCTTCCTCAGCAGATGACTGGGTGGCTTCCATACCGTCCTGCGCCCATAAGAGGCCCAACTAATGAGGCCACAGCTGAGTTGGCTCCAGAAAGTGGATTCTGTCTATTTTCATTAAAAATATAAAACAAGATCAACTTCTCAATCTTTGTGTTACCCCCATTTTAGAAGTCAATTTGGCGGGATAGAGGCCTTAGCGAGAGTATTTGATTGTCTGCAATGTGGCAGATGTGGCTTTATGAAGCACAAAGAAAATCCAAACTGGATTTAAGATATGGAGCTGGAAAATTCAGATTTTATGGCGGTGTTTGGCTCACTTATTGAACTCAAAAGACCGTGAGGTTTGTCTTTGCTTAAACTGATTTAAGACGGCTGCGCTTGGCCGCCCTGAGTCGGCCAGAGGGCCCGGATGCTGGCAGGTTAGTGGACTCGTTTGTCAACAGGGTAATTCATTGTCTAAACTAGGAGCTGGCCAACTTTCTCTGTAAAGGGCCAGGTAGCAAATATTCTCAGCTTTGCGGGCCACACGGTCTCTGTGGAGACCACTCAGTTCTGCCATGAAAGCAGCTATGGACATGTAAGCGAATAGGTGTGGCTGTGTGCCAATAAAACTTGATTAACAAAAACAAGCCAGCCAGGATTTCGCCCTTGGGCCATGGTTTGCAGACACCAGGTCTCAATGAAGAGCACCAAATCCTTGGACGTGGAAATGACCTCAGAGTTCATATGGTGCCCTCCACTCGAGTTTATCTAAGAGGAGCCTCAGGCCCTGGAAATGCACTGCCTGCCCATTCGGGGCGGACCCCTGTGTCCCGGCGGGTCGCAGTTTGGGGCCAGCTGGCACCGCTGCTGCAGTGTGGCTGAGGCCTGCCTGTGGACTTCTAGAAGCAGGAGGACGCCCAGGCTGGGGGCCAGGGAGGGAGCAGTAAACCATGAGACTTGAGTGCCTGTGTCAGCAAGAGGGGGTTAGAGGGCCTAACTGGTGGGCAGGGCCCTGCTGGAGCGCAGGCGCATCAGCCTCAGACAGCAAGTACTGCGAGAGGACACCCTGCGGCCTGGCAGGTGGTGAGGATGGAGCTCAGCGGGGGGCTGGGGGGTGGCAGCCTCCCCTTGGCCAGTCCCAACAACCTGAGGTGGGCAGCGTTGGCGGCCACAGGGCACAACATGTAACAGCCTGGATGGAGGGAGAGTCGGCAAATGCCAAGAACTGAGGGGAGCTGGCTGGGGCGGCGGGGAGGAAGGGGGCAAGAAGGCGAGGAGGAGGAGGCGCTGGGGAAGAAAGGGCAGAGGGGCAGATGCCTCCTGGACACCTTCTGTGAGGGCAGGGCTGGCGCAGGGAAGGGACTGCGCGATGGGCCGAGGGTGGAGGGGCTGTAGGAGGTGAGGAATGCCTCCCTCATCTCAGCAGGGGCAGGCTTGGTGGCTGCAAATCAAAAGTGGGGCCACCTTTGGTCTCAGATGCTTCTGAGCCCCCAAGATGGAGTTGGCTGGTGGTACACTGTGTTGAGTGCCCTTGAGGGGGACTAAGACAAAGGCGCAGAGTGGCGGCGGCCAGGTTGAGCAGCAGGGAGGCTGATGGTGAGGCCTGGGGGACAGGGTGAGGTCCCAGAAGCCAGGGAGGCTGTCCGAGAACGGGCAGCAAAGGGCCCCATCTACTGGGAGCCTTTCCTTTCCAGAGAACACTCCAGACAGCTTGCCAGCTCTCCCGCAGTCTCCCTCTTACAAATCACCTGTCTTTTGCACTAAATTGGACTTCCGATTTGGAAGACACCCCAGGGGCCAGGCACCTGCCCTCCATCCCAGGCTGGGAGAGGGGAGGGAGCAGCGAGAGTCCAGCTCTCAGTCTGGACTTCCAGAACAGCCACCCAGGCCAGCACAGAGAAAGCCCCTTCATGAGGGTCAGTTGACGGGAGGGCAGTCCCCAACCAGGATGCCCTCCCCCAGCCAGGCCTGCAGGCAGAGCCACCCCATTCCATCCGCCCCTGCCGTGGACGTGCACTTAGACTGTGATCACCACATCATCCGTGTGGACGCCGTGGGCAGCCGCCCCCCACTAACTGTCCTTCCTTTCCTTCCTCCCCTCCCCTCCTCCTCGGGACCTCCTGCCCTGCCCTTCCAGATCCGGGTGGTGAAAGCCTTCCGTAGCTCGCTCTACGAGGGCCTGGAGAAGCCCGACTCCAAGGCCTCCGTCCATAACTTCATGACTACGCCCGAGTTCCTGATCAACGACTACACCCACAACATCCCGCTCATCGATGACACGGACGTAGACGAGAACGAGGAGCGCCTGCGCGCCCCCCCGCCCCCGTCCCCCAACAAGAACAACAACGCCATAGACAGCGGCATCTACCTGGCGACGACCGCCAGCAAGTCAGCTACCTCTTCCAGGCCCGGAAGCCCCCTCCACAGCGTGGAGACGTCACTCTAACGGAACTCCTGTCTTACGCTGCACACACGCGCGCACAGACACACTCACACACTCTCTCAGACTCACCCACACTCACAGACGTGAAACCATGTACCTACAAAAGAGAGAAACACCCAAGATGGCAGAAGACTTTTCTTGCACATCATTTGCAAGAAGCCAAATCCGCTCACTAAGGGTGCAGCCCACCAGCGGCTTCTTTATCCAGGACCCTAGCAGAAGGAGCTTCTGCATCCGAGGAGAAGAGTTAGAAACCGAGAGGGTGAAGCGCTGTGTTCCCCACCTGTTTTTCTAGCGATGCTTTTTTTTTTTTTTTTTAACAGACACTACAGTTCCACCGTGTGTTCGCCATAGGGGCTGTGCACTGGGGCAGGGCGCTGGCTGGGGTTTATGGGGAGCCACGGAATCAACAAATTCATCCAAAGAAGAGGCGAGTGCTCTGGCTGGGAAGGCTGTTCCTGTGTCCACAGCGCTTCCTTTCCTGCCCCGTCAGCCCAGCGGACGGCCCACCCAGGGGAGCCAGTGCAAACATACCTGCACCACAAAGCAAACGCCCCAGAATAAACCGTACACATCAACAGTATGCGTGAGTGTGCGTGTGTGTGGAGATACGTATATATAGATTATGTGTGGAGTTTTATATATCTATATATATATGACAAGATGCATATTTAAAGCCTAAGGAACTATTTATTGGCATGCTATGTCCATTCCTTTTCTCGGGCATTTTCATTTTGACATTTCATTATTTATTGTAGCAGGGAGCCCTGGTGGTGCAGTGGTTAAAGCGCTCGGCTGCTAACCGAAAGGTCGGTGATTCAAACCCAGCCACTCTGCGGCAGAAAAATGTGGCAGTCTGCTTCTGTAAAGATTACAGCCTCGGAAACCCTATAGGGCAGTTCTCTGTCCTACAGGGTCACTGTGAGTTGGGATCGACTCGATGGCAGTGGGTTTGGGTTTGATTTTATTGTAGCAGGTGGGTTTTTTCAGGGAACTAGACTACAAGGATATCTTTTGGGTTCCCATATTTTGGCCCCGAATCCTGTCTGCCCCTTGTGATCCCCCAGCCCTCCGCCCTCTCCCGCTCACCCATTGCCACCTCTCCCTCCCAGCACAGTTGCGGAGCGTCGTAGTTGTTGGGATTCCCGAGAGGGACATGGAGGGGAGGGGCAGCGACGAAGGAGATCAGGGAACGGTTAGGAAAGGAACTTTTGCGCTCTGAGACCCCTGCCTATAGAGGAAAGCGCACTTCAATGGAGTTTTTTATTTAGAGGAAAAGGCTAAAGCCATTTCAGAGTGCGCCCTCCCATGGTGGGTGTGGAAGCTTGGTTTACAGACTCTTTGGGTCACGCCTCAAATTCCAGATCCTTCATTCTGGCTGCTGGGCTTTCCAGGTCCACACCCCCAATTTCAAGAGCAAGGTCAGGTCCTGCACCCGCCACCCCACCCCACCCCCATGCCTGCACCTGACCCAGATGGAAGGATCTGGACTCTGGAGGGTTAGTGAGGCTGTGTCGGGGTAGCAGCCAGGCACGACCAGGGGCGGCAGGCTCACCCTCAATAGTGCTCAGAAACATTCTCCCCCAGTGCCAAGTCCAGAGGAAGCAGTGCCAAGAGTCAAAACGAAGCTGCATTGATTGACTGGAGGTCAAATTCACACACAAAGGAACTGCCTGGGTGACTGAGGTCAGGACCGGCTACCTGTCAGCCCCAGCCTCCTCGGCACCTCCTGCTGAAGTCCTTTTGCTTTAGCGAATGCCAAAAAGTTCTCCCTGGCCAACCTCCAGGGTCTGCCATGGGGTGTTAGGCGCCCGCAAAGTGACTGGGAATGTGTCGTCAGATGCCACCCACCACAGCGCTCTTCCGGCCACCGACTTTTCATCCAGAGAGCATGCGCAGAGGACACGGAGGCCCCACCAAGGCATAGGTTTTTATCTGCTGCCCTGCAGGGCTGGTGGCAGTGCCGCTGCTCGCGTCAAGCCAAGTCCAGGCACCCACGGGATGCCGGTGAAGTGGCGGCGCTCTGCCCACCAGGTTCCTTTACCTCGTGAACTGGTGGCTCTCACTTTTGCAGGCCAGTGGCCAGTCTCTGGGCTTGGGAGACGAGCTGAGGGGTGAGGTCAGATGGAACTGCAGGCGCAGATTGGCCCCTAGGAAGTCGAGCTGTCCCCAGCCATACCGAAGAGGGCTTGTCCCACTCCACCTGTCTCAATGAGCTGAGTCCCCCGAGCCAAGCCACACGGAAACTCGCTGGCTTCCCTTCGCTGCCATTAATCCTGTGTCACTTGTGAGCAGGGTAGTCAGAGCTTGGGCAGAAGAATTCCTGTTGGAAACGGAAACCCCCATTTTAAATGCCAGCTACCGATCGTTTAAAGCCATCCCTTTTTTTCTAAAGGGCACATTGAGAATGTTACCCATTTGTAAATTGTTCCCAAAAAGAGGCACCTCGGCCTGCTGAGGGGCTTTGTGTTCTTAAACAAGAAACCCAACTCGACGTGGTGCAGGTGGACTGCTGCCCTCGCCGGTTCTCTGTGTCCGCTGTCGCTGTCGTAGACATGCTGGGGGAGCGGACAGCCGGTATGTGTCTACCCACCCTCGCCGCTGCTGCTGTATAAAGTTGCCCGGTGCAAGGCTGCCTTTCCACTGGGGTGTGGGTGAAGAGAGGGGCCAGGAGGTACCAGGACCTCGGCCTCCGGCTCTGGGTTCTGTACAGTCTCAGGCTGAGGGACTTGGAAGGCCCTCTTTTCAAAACACTATATTATATGGAATGGCTTGGTCAACCGTGTTCAGTCATTAAATATGTTTTACATTTTTATCTGCCTGTTATAAAGACGAACAAAACAGTATCTTAATGAGAAGGACCACAGATGCTTAATAATTTAAAGTCTGTAGTGGAGTTTCCTAATTCAAAGAATAGACCAAAATTTCTGTGTATTTAACCAAAAAAAATGAAAGGCTCCTACAGTGGCGGTCTGGGTAACGTGTGTTCTTTATGGTGAACAAATCAGAGAGGTTTCTTCAGCCCACATCACTAGCGGCATGGGTGGTCGGTAGTCCCTGGGCGGGGTGGGCTGCCGGGGCTCCTCTAACCTCACGGGTTGCCGACTGTCCAGGCCAGTGCCCTCAGATGATGGGGAGACGGGGGGTGCGGGCAGGCGCCACTACTCAGTGCCACCACACCAAGCCAGATGCCACCGCTGGCACCCACACGGACTTCCTCTTGAACCTAAAGCCATTGAAGACACCCCATTATTTCTCTGCTGCACACATCACCCTTCCAACGACCAAGTCTGGGAGTCTCCAAAAGGCACAAAGACAAGGAGCGACAGCAGAGGCAGACAAGTCACAGGGAGCCCTGGCTTCACTCGCACACTAGTAGATCTTGAAGCTAAGGCTGAGTGAGTCGTGTTGGGCCAAATTCCAATAGCCGGCCCCTTATGGAGAGTGCACACTTGACTTCCACTATCGAGTATGCCACAGGTTCCCACGGGAAAAATCAGGACTTAGCCACATGGCTTGGGGCAAGGAAGTGTGACAATACCCAGCCTTCCACAAAGCCAGCACCGTCTTCACCGCCTCCCCGAATCCCGGAGTGAGGGGGAGGACGGGAAGAAAGAGACAGGCCGAGTCTCTCTGGATTCGTTTCCACGAAGTGGGTGGCTTACGGCAGCAGGAATTGAGTCTCTCCAGTTCCGGAGGCTGGGAGTCGGAAGTCAGGGCCTCGGCAGGGCATGTGGATGTCTGTTCACGTGGCTGTCTTCCTCCTGTCGATCTCTCTGTCTCTGTGTCTCTCCTCCTCTTCTATAAGGACACCGTCATATAGGATTAGGACCCACGCCACTCCAGTATGACCTCATGTTAACCGGTAACATCTTCAAAGACCCCATTTGCACACGAGGTCACGTTCACAGGGACCAGGGTTAGGACTTCAATGTATCTTTTGGGGGACACAGTTCAACCCACAACAGCAACGCATAGAAAAGCCTGTAACAGAACAACCCTTATCCGCACTGCTGCACGGGTCCTGAGAGACAGGGGCCTAATGTTGTGTTTTGTGGTAAATCGTCCTTACAAAGCAGGTCACAAATGTCCCAACACCTTTTCTTTATCTCTGTTCAAAAGACAACACTCAAGGCTGGGCCTCTAGTCCCCACCCACATCAGGAAAGCACCCACACGCCCCAGCAATGGCCAAGGGCCACAGTCCGCTGAAATGACAGGCACACCATCAGTCTGAGGTGATCCAGCCAACCTGCTCAGTTCACGAACTGGGAGACTGAGTCCCATAGAGTCAAAGGAGCTTGGCCGGTATGCGATCATCATGACAGGAAGTGCAGACACAAAATCCCAAGGAGCTGCCTGGTGGCCTCACAGCCCAGAGTTTTCTGGGCCTGCACTCGCAGGTTTGGTGCGGTGGTTCTCAGCTGGGGATGGGGGTGATCCCCGAAATGTCCTGGGGGCTTTATTCAAACTACCCGCTTCTTTCTGATACGCCTTGGGGAGAACAGACTGGAATAGGGGTCACTGGCGGAGATCTCCTGAGGCGTCTAAGGCCCCTCTGTCCAGCAGCCCTCCTTGTCCAGAGCCAAGGGTCCTGCTTTATGAGAACTGAGAAAACTGCGACGAAGCTGAGGCTTTCGCTCAGAAAGGAGCTGGAAGCCTTGTTGGGGGAGATCAGGCACAGGGCTTCTTCACTCTGTCCGAGTCCACAATCAGAGAAGGCCCAGAGCAGTGGGCAGCCGCGGGGGCCAAGCGCAGAGCCAGAGGTCTCCCCGCACTGGGGGTCTCCCTGCGCTGGGAGCAAAGACCCAACAGAGGCACAGCGCTTTGTGGAAGCAGGGAGAGCTGAAAGGGCAGAGGCCCTGGGGGAGCCTTGCCCTCCACCCTCCATGCCCTGGCCCTGATCCAGCGCTCGTCAGTTGCCAGAGCCACCGTCCCTGTCCTCACATGGTCCTCGGACACATTGGGTGGACAGTTGTGGAAACAATCACAGTAGAAAGGGGGATCCGGGGCAGTGGGGCCTAGCCTGGGGCCACCTCTAATCCAAGTCTAAAGACGGAGGGGGATCAGCTCACCGAAATGTTACGGGCAGCGGAAGCCATCGGGCAGGGCACAGTACCCACAGAACGGAGCAGTCGGCCAAGGAAGCCTGGCCAGCTCCTGCAGCAGCCGAGGGCCTCGGGGCATCCAAGCGTGATGCCGGCCCCATGTGCAGAATGGCCTGGATGCTGGGGCCTGGGCCGGGACTTCACCCCCCTCTTGCCGTTCCCACACAAAGCGGCCCCTGAGGCAGTGGTACCTTAGGGCAGAATGGAGGAAATCGAGAACTTCCGCCAGGCCCCAAGCCCAGGGAGCACACCCAGCAGGGAAGTGCTGGAGGCGAGGGCCACGCTAGCTGAAGCTCTGTCCCCGCTCCCAGCCACACATATCTCTCACGCGTGTGTGCCCTGGGCTTGGGGGCTGAGGGAGGGAGGTTCTCTGTTTCCTCCCTAAGTTGCTCAGGGACGTTCAGAGAGACAGATGGCAAGGGCTGGAAGGGACCTAAAGCGGCACCCAATCCACTTCTGTAGTCAATAAAGATGGCTCTTCTGCTCAGTAATTTATCCATTCAGTAACTATCCGCTCAGTAACTATCTGTTGGATGAACAAAGAAATGAATCATAGCAAACGCTCACTAAGCCCCCGCACCAGGCCTCACACATCACAGGTCTTCCCCATTTCGTGTCTCATCTCCCGCCCCAAATGTAAAGAAGCTTCAAGAGGGCAGGGGGTTTTGTCTGCTCGGTTCACTCTTGTACTCCTAGCTTAGAAGAGCCCTTGGCACAGAGTCAGTACTCAACACATCCTGCTGAATGAATGGCCTCAAACAATTTACAAGGGCGGGGGCTGAAAGAGACCACAGGAAGCAGAAACTTACAGTCACACCCACAGAACGGTTATCCCACCCCCAGCCCAGGCCAGGCTGCCCTCAGATTCGCACCCTGTTTTTCTAACCAGAAAACCAAAAAAAACCTCAAACCTGTTGCTGTCAAGCCGATTCCAACTCATAGCGACCCTGCAAGACAGAGTAGAACTGCCCCATAGGGTTTCCAACGAGCGCCTGGTGGATTTGAACTGCCGACCTTTTGTTCAGCAGCTGTAGCTCTTAACAACTATGCCACCAGGGTTTCCAACCATCTAACCCCAAGAGGACAAATATGTAGCCAGTTTGTAAACTCAAGCGAGCCCCTCCACCTGACTCATCACCTGCCCATGACTCCTCCCCGTGTCCCCACCAGGGATGCAGGTGAGGACCAAGTAACAGAGCTTTTTGGAAATATTATCTTGACCCAGTGTTGAGGCCCTAGCTGGAGGCCCATTAGTTCCCCCTCTTGAGCAGCTGTTAAAGCCCACACTCTAACCACCCTACCTCCCTTATCGGGCTCTCCCACTTCCAGGACACTAGGCAGCATCCTAATGGTCCTGGGGCCAGATACCCAACAACCAGGGAGAGCCCCCATTCCCTGGAATCCATGGACTCACTCAAATTAGCCAATATCCCAGAAGATGGGAGCACCTGGGTAACCCCGGCCGGCCAGCCACACTTCAGCCGCCACCGACAATTCCAGAATGCTGTCCCCGGCGCAGCCCTGAGTGGCCCTACATGGATGCCTTACCACTGTCCACGAGGCTCTGTGTCATACACACCACTCAGAGAACCCACATTCCGGCCAACTCTTTCCAAGTTACAAAGCAGCCCAGCGCCTTCCAGCTTAATGTGCCAGGGCCTAAACCTAACCTAACCCAAACCCTAACCCTAACCCTAACGCTAACTTAACCCTAACCCGAACCTAACCTTAACCCTAACCTAAGCCTAACCCCTAAGGCCTAACCCTAACCCTAACCCCTAAGCCCTAACCCTAACCCTAAACTCAACTTAACCTAACCGTAACCTAACCCTAACCCTAACCCTAAACGAACCCTAACCCTAAACGAACCCTAACCTGACACCTAACCCTATCTCTAACCCCAACCTAACCCTAACCCTAACCTAACCCTGACCCTAACCCTAACCCTGTGGGGCTGGCGGGCAAGGACAGCTGACCAGAGCCCACTCTTCTGTGGTAACAGCGTCCAGAACCTTATGCCATCGGGGCGAATGATGGTTCCAGTCGCGCGCACTGGGTTCAGTGAGGGGACTCCCTTCTCTGGGGTGTGTGTGCTCCTTTCCAGAGACGGGAGACCCAAAGGGCTCTAGTTTCTCTGGCTCCTCCTCTAGACCTGCCGCCTGGCTGTGAAAAGTAAGCCCTATACACCTTTGAACTACACTGTGGTCAGGTCTGGCTTTTGGGAACCAAAATGCCATCCCCAAGCCTGGACTTGCCGCCTGTGGCTGTGCTCTTCCAGGAAGCGAAGGAGGCTCACGCCCTATGTCCCCATGATGCCCTGTCTGGCACAGTAAAATGACACGGGGCAGACACTCGACCAGCGAGGCCTCCAGGAGCCACGGAGGGGCTGCCTAGGAACGTCTATTGAGCCCAGAGAGCATCGTCGGTGCCCTGAAGTCCCCAGAGGCAGCGTGAGCACAGAGCAAAGACAGGGTGTCTGTGTGGGTTTGTATCACCTTTTATTATACAAAATAGAATTCCCTCTATGTTGTACAGTCATCCTTTCTATAAATCAGGCTTTAAAAAATCCCAGGGGATACAGTCAAACAGGCTACTTTGATTTTCCTCTCAGTGAAGCCATGCCTTGAATGTAGTCTGCATCCTCACGAAGGACAAAGCGCACACGGACCACCTCAGATCCGCCCCCCAGGATGGTCTCCAGCCCACCACCAAAGGGGCGCTACCTATGTCTGGCGCGTGGCTGGCAGGGGCAATCAAGGCCACAGGTCAGAGCGCCATCAGCAGCCATTTCCAGGAGCAGAGAGCTATCGCTCCCAACCAGTCCTCTGGGGACGGGCCTGCATGGCCATGTGGCCGAGCAGTCCGCTGCTAGCCTGGCAAGTCCAGTCCGCAGCCAGGCATCCCGCTTCTCTTTGGACAGGCCAGGACCAGTGCCTTAGGGGATCTCTGTGTCCATGGTATAAATGTGAATGAGATCAGACACAATATTATCAATGGTTGGCTTGGTAAGGTCGTCACTAAACACCTAGAAAGGAGAAGGAAAACAGGTTCCGATTAGACTCACTCTGTGTCAAAGCAGATCACCAACCACTAAGCCAAGAACTGCATTTCATCAGCAAAAGGGAGGGCATGAGGGCTTGGGTATGAGCACAACGGTGGTTCTCTTGCAAAGCCAGTTCAGTTCCAGCCCGCCAGAGGCCAAAGACTTAAGAGGAGAGAACATTCCAGATGGAAGAGCACTAGTAATCATCTAACCCAAAGAGGACAGGGGACTTGTCCAAGGCCACACAGGGAGTTGGTGATAGAGCTGGGCCTGGAGCCCAGTCCTGGGAGGTGACTTCCATGCCCTTGGAATATCCTGCCTGGTAAGAGTGCCTTTGTATACCTGGAGCCTTGGACCACGCCAAAACAATCTATGCCAGCAGTGGGATTGATGGTGGGGAACTTGGACCACCCCAGACAGTCTATGCCAACAATGGGATTGATGGTGGGGAACTTGGACCACCCCAGACAGTCTATGCCAACAATGGGATTGATGGTGGGGAACTTGGACCACCCCAGACAGTCTATGCCAACAATGGGATTGATGGTGGGGAACTTGGACCACCCCAGACAGTCTATGCCAACACTGGGATTGATGGTGGGCACCTTGGGCCACATGGTATCAGCTTGACCTGTGGGGGACTGGAGTCTGAGTAACTAAGGTCAGCTACATGGGTGCTACATGCTTACACGACTGACCCTCAGTAAAAACTCTGGACAGCAAGGCTTGGCTGAGCTTCCCTGGCTGGTAATATTCACGTGTGCTGTCACACATTGTTGCTGGGAGAAGCAAGCACTGTCCGTACAACTCCACGGGGAGAAGACCATCAGAAGCTCACGCCTGGGCTCTCCTGGACTCCGTCCTATGCACCTCTTCCCTTTGCTGGCTTTAATCTGTACCCTTTCGCTGCAATAAACCGTAACCGTGAGTATACTAGTTTTTCTGAGTCTTGTGAGTCCTTCTAGTGAATCATCGAGCCTGAGAGTGGTCTTAGGGACCCCCGACAACAAAGAAAGTAAAAACCAAAGCAGTGAGCCTTTGGTCGGATGCTGCAACTACCCTGGGGTGGGTGGGGTGGGGGTTGCTGTCTGGGGAACCAAGGCACCGATGAGGGACACAAGTCAAGGCCGCGGGCCAAGCCAAGGAGGGAACTGGACCTGCGACCATCCTCCTCCTCCCCCCCAAAAAAAAACCAGGACCATAAAACGCTACGACCGCAGTGAGATGCTCATCTAGACACTTCTGAGCAGTGGCTCAGGAGGCTGGGCTGTCTCGCCCTGGGGTCTGAGGGGAAAGCAAACACTTCAGAAGTAGGGTTTGCTCAGCAGAGTCCACCCACTACCTTGGAAACCCCAAGCCAAGAAATGACTGTTAAAAAGTAGTCCAGGGCAGGTGACAACCCTGGGGCACCCGGCAGAAGAAAGGCAACAGTCTGTGCAGGGAGACACAGCCAAGCCCTCAGCAGAGGCGCGGCTGGCAGCAGGAGCCAGGAGGCCTGACGGCGTGACCGCACCTCACGCTCAGGGCACGGGTCAGTCTACTGGCTGAACACAGCCTCAGGGGAGAGGCGTGCCCAGGACAGACAAGGGGACTGTGTCGTTTTTTGGCTGTGTGGGCATCAGCCAAGGAATAGCATGTGTCAGGACAGCTTCGACTTTCAACAGGGTGGGCAGGGGAGGTGGCGCTGCGATGGGGTGTGTGACCCAAGACCTGCAGGAGGGGAGGAAGGAGTCAGGGAGGTCTGGGGAAGAGCTCCTGGACCCAGCTTTGTTAGCCCTGATCTAGTCCGAGTTCCCAGTCAATGCACAGGATGGGCAGAGAATGATCCGGCCCAGGGTCCACGGTGCTGAGGTAGAGAAACCCTGTGTCCGACCACGAGAACAGCCCCGATATTCCCGAGCATCCCGCACCGTCATGGATAATGAACGAGAGGAACGTGTACGCCCAGCAAAGGGTGCTCCCGGGGGCCCTGGGAAAAAGGAAGGGCGCACACGCTCCGGCCGAGCCGCGCGCGGAGCGGCCGCCTCACCTGCCACCACGGCTTCTCGGCGTCGGCGTCGGCAGGCACCTCGACGCCGTAGACCTGCAGGGCCAGCTGCAGCACCGCCACGGCTATGTGCTGCGCCCGGAAGCGGAGGCACAGCCCGCCGTGGTAGCTGTCCCGCAGCAGGGCCCAGGCGGTCACAGAGATGGGCGTGCGCTGCCAGCTGTATCGGTTCATCCAGTTCTTGAGCGAGATCAGGTAGTGGAGCAGGTACTGAAAAGACGCAGCAGTCAGCCAGTCTCCCTCGGGCCCCCAGCTACCGCCCCCACTGGCTGCCTCCTCACGCCTCACTCTGCCCCTGCCGCCACCTGCCGCCCGCCACTCTCTCCCAAGCTGTTATGTCACCTCCCAACCCTTACGCGGGCCTCTAAGCCCTGCCTCATCTCCCCCTCTCCATCATGGGCCCCAACCGCACCCTTCCTGCCAGGCACACTCCCCCAGAGCTGGAAATCGTCTCTGCCCCAGCCCCAGCCCCCACAAGACCACTCGCTGGCATCCTTCGGGCCCAGCACCAACGAGCGCACCCAGAACATCTTCTCCACGGCTTCACCGTGTTCCGGGCACCATGGGAAATCATTTTCTCACTTTTTCACTGTTATGCCTGTCCAACTAAGATCGAAGGTCTGGAGGACTGAGTAGCTGCTGTGCCCTGCATGCCCAGCCCGATGCCAGGCGCCACATGGCAACAGTCGGTGCCCGAGAACTCGGAAGCGCGCTGAGCTTGGCCATAAGATCTTCGTGGCACTCCAGACCTTCTGGCGGTCAGCCCCTGCTGTGCCCAAATCGCAGGCCGAGTTGAAACTGGTGTGCTCCCTTCTGTCTGGAACGTGTGTGTGTGTGTGTGTGTGTGTGTGTATGTGTTATGGGCTGAACTGCGTCTCCCAAAAAGACAAGTTGAAGTCCTAACCCCCGGTATCTGTGAGCGCGACCCTGTGAGGAAACAGGGTCGTTGCAGATTTTGTCAGTTAACATGAGGCCACACTGGAGTAAAGGAGCCCTGGTGGCGCAGGAGTTTAAGCACTCAGCTGCTAACCGAAAGGCTGACGGTTTGAACCCACCAGTCACTCTTCTGGAGAAAGATGGGGCAGTCTGCTTCAGTATAGAGTACAGCCTTGGAAACCCTGTGGGGCAGTTCTACTCTGTCCGCTAGGGTTGCTGTGAGTTGGAATGGACTTGACACCAATGGGCTTGGTTTGGTTCACTGGAGTAGGAGGGGTCCTCATCCTAGATGACTGGGACACAGACAGACACACAGGAGGAGGACAGCCATGTGACCGCAAACCAAGGGGCGCCAAGGATCCCCGGCCATCACCAGGAGCTAGGAGAGAGGGCCTCAGAAGGAACCAACATGGCCAACACCCCAAGTTTGGACTCCCAGTCTCCAGAACTGAGACAATAATTTTTTGCTCTTACAAGCCACCCAATGTGTGGCACCTTGTTAGAGCAGGCCCAGGACACTCAGGCACTATGAGTCTGGCATGCCACATCGGAAAGAATTCAATACGTCACTTTACACCCAATCCTTAGACTCCTGTCCCAGCTAAAGGCAGGAGAAGCTTCGCAAAGCTGAAAGCAGCGCCAAGCCATCGCTGCCAATCTGAGGACTAATCCTCCAAAGCCCACGGACTCTGCATTCTGGTGACTTGTTGTCTTGACAACTCCCTCCCACAGATGCCAGTGCAGCGCCTCTCCCTCCGCCCAGACATTTCTCCAGCATTGTGTCAACCGAGAAAAGACAGTTTAAAAAATCCTGGACCAGAGCGCCGAGTCACACCTCCCCCATCTCTCCCCAAGCCATGCTTCCAAGCCGCTTTCATGTGGGTCTGAGGCCTCAAAGTATCACCTCCAAATGCACTCAAGAGTTTGACTTTTCCCTTTTGCTGCTGTTCTAGATGGTTCTTCTGCTGAGGCTTATGTATCCTCAAAAGTGAAAAGCGTACTCCATAGCTCAAGCTACCTGATTTTCTCATGTATTTCTAAACACTGCTGAGCTGGATATGAGCACCAAGGCTGCAGAGCCACTCACGGTAACAGGGACCAGCAGATCCCCAAACTGACCGTGTAGTTTAATCTCTGTAGCACCCCAAAGTCGTCTGAGGGAACAGCCGGGGGCCCTCAATGGCTTCCGAGGGTCGCACAGATTCCAGGGCACCACCACAGACGGGCGGATGAAAAGGTGTACGCTGAACGGGAAAACTGCCCAGGAAAAGCCGAGAACCCGGCGCGAGGCCGTCTAGCCAGTCACAAGAGTACTGAGCGGGGGGCACACATCCGACAAGCCTCACTTTCCAGACACAGAACACAGGCCTCAGTTCACTCCCCTTGAAACACGTACCTTGTGTGGATGCTGGAAGGAAACCTGGAAACGCAAAACTCGGAGCATGAGCAGCTCACACTGGACGATGCTGTCTCGGAGCTCCCAGAAGCGGGCGTCCAGCTCCAAGGGCTCACTGCTCGGGTTCAAGTACCTGCACGGACAGAGAAGCGGCCAGTTACCACAGCTCAGGACAGGCATCTGAGCAATGGGCCAGCTCGAACATGGCGAGCCGCGTAAAAGTTACACACTGTCAAATTCAAAGTGACGCTGAGCGTCTGCTGTAGGTGAATGTGGGATTATATTTCCCTATCTGCGTGTCAGTCAGTCTCCATCTGCACGTCTGACGTGCACGATGAAGAGCATAACCGACAGAGGGAAGAGGCAGGTTTCAGCCTCGTGGGCTGTCCCTGTGTCATCCAGTGAGGTGGCAACTGCAAGGACTGGCACGCTGGCAGCACCCGAGATGAGCCGAAGCCACGGCATGCCGAGTCAGTTACACTCTCCGTTATGGTTGCCCTGGTGCTGAGGATAGTCTTGTGACCTGGAACAGCCACACCCAGGGCTCTCGCTCTGGGCCCCAGGAACTGGATTTACACGTGCCATACGAACGACACATTTGGAAGAGTGCAGGCTTTTCAGTTTTCAGTTTCCCAGCTCTCTCTCCTGAAGTACCTTACACACGTCCACCACGCTCCCACGTACGCTCCGAATCCTCGACCGCTGACCCACTGTGCCAAGGCCCTTGCCCCTTTCCCCACGTCCCCACCTCCGCTCACCTGGGCCCAATTTCCCCTCCTGCTGACCGCCCACCGTGCACAGAACAGTTACGGTGAACTTGGACCTGCGTCCCTCCGAGTCCTTCCTGTGCATGATGCCCCGTCACGCTCGAGGGGGCAAGCACGTCTCTGCTACTGTTCATTAATAAAGAAGCAGCAGCATGAGAGTTTTCGCTCCTGTGATTAGCGTTCCTGGAAAGACAGTCCCGCACGGCAAGTTACTACCTTTCCAGTAGCTAGTTCTGGCTTCCTCTGCCCTGGGCCACTGCGTCAGCACAGCACACCCCGCTGCCTGGGACCCGGCGGCTCTCCCCATCAGGAAACCCGGCTCTGGGCTCCTGCTGGGCTGTCCATGCCAGGGCGAGGGCTACTCCCTGGCAACATTCAGATTCTGGCTCTCACGCCATCTCAATGAGGCAACTGACCCCGCACGTGCTTTTCCACCTCCAGCCACCCATTCCTGTCCATCCGCTACAAGGCCAACCGTTGTCTCCTTTGGGCCACTGTGCCTTTAGAGCTCGACTGGCCCTCCTCTGCCCGCCTGGGCTGGCCACTCGGCGGCTCTGCACGAAGGCCCGGCCCATGCAGCGCTTACCTGTTGGACACGTTAATGATGTCCCGCGTGCGCAGGTGCTGCTCCTCCACCTTGCCGGCCAGGTAAATGGCCGACATGGCGATCAGGTAGGGGTCATAGGCGTCCAGGTCAGTCTCGCCAAAAAACTTGTGGTAAATGGTACACGCCGTGGCAATGGGGATGGACTGCAGCCCTAGCTTGACACCTGCAGGAAGGAAGCAGGCGGGGAATGCCTCCACACCTGACCGAGCGGGTCAGAGAACCGTCACCCCGCTGGGATCTCCTGCACGCATGGGCTCCCACTTAGCCACGTGTGTACTTCTAACAAGGCCCAGGCCTAGCCAGGCTGCCCCACTGCGGGCCACACTTTGAGCAGCCAGGGCTGGACTTCTGCTCGGAGGGAGCCACAGGCTTCCATCACCTCTGACTCTGGCCTCTTGTGATTATATCAGGCCCACCTGGCTAGTCCAGGGTACTCTCCCTATCTCAAGATCTTCGGTCACATTTGCAAAGTCCCTTTTGCTAGGTAAGGTCCCAGTCACAGATTCTGGGGCCATTATCAGCCTTCCCCAGAGGGCAAGGACATGTGCAATATGTTTCATGAAGAATTCCCTCGAAGGTGATAACTAAAAGAGCGCTGAGCATTTCAAGGATTAAGCTTTGCTCGTATCCCTCATTCCCAAAGACGTCAGCAGCAGCGGTACTGCTGCCCACAACCATTCATGCCTTTCACAGAGCAAACCCTTGAAGGGCAGGATGCTTCCCAGCTGGATGACAGCAAATGAGGGGACACTGCCATCACTCCTTAATCCACTTTGCAACTCTTCTTGGAAATCCTACAGGAATCAGACGGCTGTGTTGCCTCCCCTTGGGAGCAACAGCACACAACACCATGTGCAAGCCCTGCCATGGTTCAGGACGCGGGTCCCCAGGGGACCAGACCTCACCAGCAAGGCTTGTCCCAAGCCTCATCACCAACAACGTGCTCCAAAAGGCTCAGGGCGACCAAATACCAGAACGAGAGGGATGCCGGGAGACAGGTGTGGCAGGAGGCGCTATAGACTCCACTGCTCAGCGGCGACCAGCCCCGCCGCTATCTGTCTGGAGGGCTGAAGGCTCGGGCCAGTTTGCCCCCCGGGAAATGGGCCGAGCAGCTCCATGCCTGGTACACAGGATGCGACCAGGCCCTTCATCAGGCCAAAGGGCGGCTCTTCGGGCGCGCCTCCTCCAGGAAGCAGTTCCGGTCACTGCAGCCGGGGCGCCGCCGGCTCCGCACCCCCGCCGACCAACACGCACTTCCGCGGCCCCTGTCCCGGCCAGGGAGGCCCAGGCCCCGGGGCCCGCGTCCGGCCCGCTTGCCCGGGCCGCGGTTACCTGCCTCCATGATGAACCTCGTCACTCGGAAGTGTACCCTCGCCTCCGGCGCTGGCCGCCCCTGGGCCTGCGGCGCCGCAGCCCCTTCTCCGCGGCTCTCCGGGCTAACGGCCTCCATGAGGCCCCACCCGCGCGGCCCCACGCGGCCCGCCGGAAGGAG